TTGGCCTATTTTACGCTATATTGTGTTCCTCTGTCACATTTCAGGTCCTAGCACATAAAGTGAAGCATAGGCGCAAGTTTCAAGTCAATCAGAGATCAATTGACGATTCAGGAGAAGAAACTCGGGTATGAACTGAAGAAGAATGGATCTCTACCTCACTTTATGGACAAATAATCATGCAAGCTTGTCATGAAAAGAAAGAGGACGAGACTACGAGCGTCTGGGATCAAACGGCGACTGATTCGGAGTTCGGACGAGGGAGAAAGGAAGCATTAAACAGAGGCTGAGCAAGCCACACGGGCACAACCCACACGGCCGTGTGACCTGGCCATGTGGCCGTGTGGAAATCTCCGAGCCTTCACACGGGCAGCTGGGAAAGCCACACGGCCGTGTGCCCTGGCCGTGTGAGTCGGAAATTGCTGGTTAAAACCCGATTTTCAGCAAAAGGAAAGGGGGAGAGCTGGGTTTTGGATCCCAAACACCCAAGGGACGAACCTTAGAGAGAGAGAGCGACTTGGGAACATTCTTGGAGCTATTTTGGAGGATTTCTTCGCCATTGGAGCTCGGGAATCAAGCATGGAGATGGAGATTGAAGATCTAGATCAGATTTCTGCAGTCTCTCTCTTCTCTATGGAGTAACTTCCCTTCACTTAGGTTTTGAGGAACCTTAGTTCCATGAGTTAGGATCTTTCTTGTATGAAGTTTTGGATGCTATATTGTTTGATTATAATCGAATGATGCATGTTTATTGAGTCAATTGAAGTCTGATCAACTTTTCCTGATTCCTGCTGCAATTTGAGATAGATAGAATCTGATTAGGTTGCTAGAGTCTCATCATTCGGTAGTAGGAGATTGGCTATACAAGAGTTAGCCAGTTTACTGCTTTGTACTGGAATCCAATTCCAGTAGTGGATTCCTGTGCTTATTGCTTCAGCTTTCTATCCTGGTGAAGACTAGTCGTCTGCCGGATAGTTGGACTGAGAGGGCTTGGTTAGCTTAAGAGATTCCAAGCTAATTTAGGATCTTCCACAGTTTAATCAACAGTAGATCAACCAAAGGTAATTGCAACTTGGACCTAATTGAGGAGCTAGGGGGAATCATACCTAAGTGAGTTCCCAACTTGTAATTAGTAGAGTAGTCAGTAGAGTAGTTTATCAATCAATCCTTAATCTAGTTTGCTAAATAATGAACTGAAGCTGAGTAATAGTTACTCTAGAGACCCGTGGATTCGATATTTATTACTTGTGCCACTATACTGCAGTCCCTTTCATTGGTTACACTTGGCCATTGTTAGGTGTTGTGTTTTAGAGCTTCAGCACCATTTCAATTACACAGCTCATAGTTTCTTTGTAAATGTCACAGTTGAAACCGTGGAGTTCTTCAAGCGCCAACAAACTGTGGGTTGGCTCATGGAACTTTGCATGTCTCACTACATTTTTTGTGGGAGTCAAGGTCTTGGAGTGCCTTTGTGCTCTAAACCGTCACTTCTGTAACTTCTTCACTTTATCCCAGTTTTGACTCCAAATGGTCTGACAATTGTTCCTTGCGCCATAGTTTGAGCGTGAAACGGGATAAAGAAACAACAAATCACAAGCTTAACGATCAAGTAAATGGGGTATAAATATGTATAATTAAGCCTAAAGCAAACTACCCATAATTAACCATTTGCTTTCCCCCAAGCAAACCTACCTCAAACTGGTGCAACTAGATGGAATCTCGCAATGGTATGCAATCTAGATCGTCGATAGTGGGAAAACTTGAAACTCTCAAGGTCAATCAGAGCCTAAAAATCTCATAATAATGATGTGAAGCACAAACTTTCAAGGTCAACCAGAGACTAAAAGTCTCATAACCATGATATGAATCATTCAATCAGAGACTAAAAATCTCATAACCATGATGTGACGCACAAACTCAAGTTGGGACCTTGCCCATTAGTGAAGCCAAGAAACGTTACATGTGTATGACGAGACTCTAAAAAATGGTTGAAAACAATGAACTTGATGGTAGTGCTCCTTGACACGCCATGACACAACTCCTAACAAAGGCCAAGTGTAACCAATGAAAGGGACTGCAGTATAGTGACTCAAGTAATAAATATCGAATACAAGGGTCTCTAGAGTTACTATTACTCAGCTTCACTTCATTATCCAGCAAACTAGATTAAGATAGAACAACTAAAACTACTCTAGCAAACTACAGTTAAAGTTAATCTAATTACAGGTTGGGAACTCACTTAGGTATGATTCCCCCTAGCCAATAGCCAGATTAATGATTGATGATCTCTAACCTATTTCACTTTCATTCACAATGCGAAGAATCCTTAACTAGACCTTGAGTCTCGACTAAAGGAACAAGGCCCTCTTGAGTCAATTGCCTAGAGTGACGTATCCTTCTCTAGAACAACCGATCAAGGCGTTCTGAACTAGACTTCCTCTATCGAATGAGGTTCTCAATCAATACAAAGCATTGAATCAACCATCGACTAAAGCAATCGATCCAATAGTATCAATCTATGGTGCTCTATTGACCTAATCAGGTATTCGCTCTCATAGGATCAAACCAGAATCAATAATCTCGACTAAAGCAGGTTTGAATCATGAAAACATGCTAAGATTGAATATGAACTCAAGATTATCAAGTAAGAGTACTCATATAATCATCAAATCAAACAAACATGGCTAGGGTTCCTCGAACCTAAGTGAAGGGAAGTTACTCCATAGAGAAGAGAGAGACTGCAGTAAGAATCTTCAGATGATTAGTCTTCAAGTCCGGGCTTATTCCTCGAGATTCCAATGCGAAGAAATCCTCCAATTCCACTCCAAGAGTGCCCTCAAATCGCCCTCTCTCTCTCTTTGGTTTGTCCCTTGGGTGTTTGGGATCCAAACCCCAGCTCTCTCCCCTCAAAAATCGCAGAAAATAGACTTATACCGAGCAGGGGAAGAAACGCAGTCGGGGGACACGGCCATGTTTAGTCCTGCCCGTGTTTTTGAATCCCTTTAGCAATCTTCAAAAGAGAGGCTCGGCATAAAAAACACTGGCAGGGCCAGATGAAACACTATCGTGTTTTGAGGGTAGTCTGCCCATGTTTCTTCCGCCGAACCTGTTCCCCTATATTCAATGCTTCGTTTCTCCCTCGTTTGGACTCCTAATCATTCTCCGTTTGATCCGAGACGCGCGTAGTCTCATCCTCTTTCTTTTCATGACAATCTTGCATGATTCTTTGTTGATAAATGAGGTAGAAAACCATTCTTCTTCAGGTCATGCCCGAGTTTCTTCTCCCGAATTGCCAATCGATCTACGATTGACTTGAAACTTGTGCTTACGCTTCCCTTTACTCACTAGGACCTAAAATGTGACAAAGGAACACAACCTATCATAAAATAGGCCAAAGAAGCCATAATGCAAGCTTAAACGATCAAGAAACAAGGGGGGAAATATGTGCAAATATCGAGTCATCACTCCTACTTAGAAGGGCTCAGACTTTCGAGCCTCAACTTACTTTTCCTGTCATGCCATCACACCTACAGTTTTGCAAAACAAGGGCGTTAAGTAGAAGCAACATCCACTTCCCTAGCTAGACCATATGGGGAAAGAGGTGTAAAGTGAATATGGAAGGTAGTGGGAGAATGTTTGGAAGAAGATCATGAAATCACTTTACACAAGCTTTTCCCAAATTGGAGGCAATATTTCCACCCAAGGAGTGAAGATTGGAGATCTAGAAGAATATATCCCTTTGAGGTTGATTTCTCTACTCGAGTTGTGATTCTTCCTCTTTCTCTCACTATGGAGACTGCCCATATTCACTTTGGTGCGTAGAACTCTAGCTATGTGTGTTAGAATTTGATGATTGAATGATTCATATGCTTGTTTGAACTCTTGACTATATATTGAATTGAGGTATTATTATGGAATTGTTTGGGTGTTGATCAAATTCTCCAATTTGAGCTATTAACCTAAGGTAGACAATATCCAATTAGGTTGATTAGAGCAATTTCTCAATTATTCATTGTGGTCCAATTGATCGAGCGTGATATTGGACTACAATGTCGTATTGTATCATTATCCTTAGTGGGAGTCTAAATTGCATGACCTAGGTGTTCTATTTCCCCATATGTGGAAAGTCTCCATCCAGATAGTTCGTCCTAGGTGGACTTGGATTACTCGAATAGGGAATCCAAGAAGGTTTAGGACTCTCCGCGGTATAAATCTTGAGTGGGCAAGCTACGATCGTCAATATTGATCTAATTTGTGGGTAGAGGGAAACACACCCGAGTGAGTTTCTCTCAATACGTTTCAACTAATCTTTACTTTCTTTTCGTGTTAATAGTTAGATAAACCAAAATCGATTTGCTAGATAACGAATAGTTCACGAAGTAAAGTAGATTTGCCACTCCATACACTCACAAGACAATGACACATCACATAGGACTCTACACTTGATCGATGGTTACACTTGACCTTCGGTTGGGATAGTAATTTAGAATGAGTCAAACTTATACACAAATGGATGGTGGATCATTCCACTCCATACATGCACAAGACAATGATACATCACATAAGAATAGTTTCCTCACACTTAACATGACATTACATGCAATAATATAGTTGCACATAATAGATTATATAAGCATCGCATGGTTAGGGCATCAAACAACTCGAGCATTCAAATAATACAAGCATATAATGATATATGCATTGAATGATAAAGGTATATAATGGCCAAAGCATTTTTTTTTTTTTTGCATTGCTGGAGGCCAAAGCCAAGAAAAAGACAGAGTACATGGGGGGAGGAGTGGGGATAGAAGAGTTATCTTGGCTGTCAACAATCCGCCGCTCGAAGGACACTCCCTGCATATCATCCTGAAGAACAGATATAGCACCTGATGGCGGGTGCACAAGCTCGTGCATACCATAGGGATAGACGAGAATGTGCTTCGGGAGCCAGTCCACGACTCTATTCCCTTCGCGATATACATGAACAATGCGCACCAGCCAATCACGACTGATACTCCTGCAAATGGAAGCTAACAAAGTGGCATACGGATGGAATGGATCACGTCTGTCATTAATCAACTGGATGGCTACCTGTGAGCCAGACTCTACCATGAGCTGTCGATACCCGGACTTCCAAGCTAAATCTAAGCCATGATAGAAAGCCCATAGCTCCGCCAAGGCCGCAGAGGCTTCCCCAATCTTAGCCACGAAACCATTAAGCTAGACACCAGATTCATCTCTTATAACGCCACCCGCGCCGGCAAACTCGGATTTCCATTGAAAGCGCCATCAATATTCAGCTTCACCCATCCTCCCGTCGGCGGAGTCCAAGCGATGTTTGTCACGACCCTGGCCATCGGGGCCTTCCTCAAGTTTGGCCACAAGGAGGGAGCACGCTAGGCTTCACACCAGCGTCTAGCTTTGGCGATAATGGAATGAGCCAAGGAAGGCGGACTGAGCGTGTGAGAGGCCCCTTTGAAGCAACTATCATTTCTGCTTTTCCATATCAGCCAGACCGCAATTCTAAATAAGGTAGCCCACTCAATGCCCAAATCACCGCTGTCCGTTTCCTCTAGGTTCATTCGAAACCAGTCTGCTGCAGTCGCCAAAAAGAATCTGTGTTGTCTGTTGTTGGGGACATACCTAGTACAGGAAAAAGCCGCCGGAGGACAATTCGCAGAAGGTGAGTGATCGACTCCACTTGCCCACTGCATCTGATACAGTTGGGAGAAGGGGCTATTTCCCTGGAAAATCGGAGTGCATTCGTCGCAATCTTCCCAAGACAAGCTAACCACATAAAGCAACGTACTCGCTCAGGAACTGGAAGACTCCATATGATCCTCCAAAACTTGGCATCTCTATCGGTATCCGGCGGCAGCAAGGCTTGGTATGCCGTCTTCATGGAAAAGCGTCCATCAGAGGATCTCACCCAAAACAGAGTGTCCACCTCAGAAGATAGCTTGTCCACCGCAACCCCCGTAATTTTGTGTTGAATCTCCTAGGGAAGGAGGTCTCCAAAATGGTTCGTCCGCCACACCCCTTCATCCATCATCAGATCCGCCACCACCTCGTTTGCCCGGGAGTTGGGAATCTCCTCCAGAACAAAATTACTGAGGGGTTCTTGCAAAATCCCAAAATTTAGTAGTATTCCCATTCTTAATGTTCCAAGCACAACCTCTTTTCAGCAAAGGAGAGGCTTTAGTGAAGCTTTTCCAGGTAAAGGAACTTCCCTGAGTAGGTTGAAAGAGATCCAGATTCTCCTTGTTCCGACTGTACTTCACTCTGATTACTTGAGTCCAACGCATCTCATTGTATCCAAGAAAGAAGATGCATAAATCATCAATAGAATTCACATCCTTAACAACGAGTTTGAACTAGCAATGCATGAGATAGAAGGATGGTACCACCATCGATGACGAAGGATCTTCTTAGTTGCACCCTCATATGAATGTTATTTTGGCCTCCCTCGAGTTGAGTGGCTCATTGTTTGAGTTACAGAGTAATTTAAGTAAAGTTTTGCAGTCTCTTTTGTCCTGTAGTCTAACCCTTTATTTATATTAGAAGGAAGAAGGGGGTTTAAGGCATTTTCCTCCTTCAACTCGGCCAAAGTTCTCATGATACCCCTAGGATTTAGATTTTCTTGACTTGGGTACGAAGAAAAGAATATTCCTGAAGCTTTCTTGGGTTTGGAATTGAGGCGGTCGAGCAGCGGTCAGGGTTGTCGTGGTTCTTCCTTATGATTTGGGTTGTTTGGTCCACAGGTAACCCCCATGGATTTTCAGTGCGACTTGTTGTGTTTGGCTCGACGGAGGTTGGCACCATCACATGGCCTCCGTAAGTTACTTTGTTGGCTTGGGCTGAAATTCCTCCAATAGACTCATCTTGGGACCATATGACGACTTCATAAAGACTTCCCCTCTATTGGGTTTCGTTTAATGGATAAATCATCCTTGATCTTCTAGTAAATATCCCTTTTGATCCTCCAACTTGATCCAGTTGTTGATCCAAATCACTGTAGATGAGATTGTATTTGACCTTAAAAAGCACAAAATAATACCAACACACAACCTAGGTCTATTATAAGCACAATGATCAAATAGTTATGAATTCATACTAAATATAGTAAGATGTGCTAATGATCAGTAGATATTGTCCAGATTGTCTTTATGAGAAATGCACCTCATTGATGTAGTCTAGTTCTATAAGTGTGAGGGTTGACCTTCGTAAAATGCTTATGATTGACTACCTACGGTCGAAAGTCACGTGTCATTGTATAGGTCTAGTGAAATGTACGATTATGAGTGATGTTTGCTTGGGGACAAGCAAAGTTCAAGTGTGGGGTTATTTAATGACACATAGAAAGTACAATTTTAGGATCACTTCTACTATGCTATATAGTATTGGTGCTTTAATGTACAACTTGAAGTTGTACCATAACATTAAATGTATAAGTTTAGGTTGTACCATAAAGGAATTTGTATCATTATGTTATGGTACAACTTTACAACTTGAAGTTATACCATCACATAAGGTACAAGTTTAAGTTGTACCATAAAAGAATTTGTACAAAAAGTATAGGTACAATATGAAGTTGTACCATAACATTAAAGGTACAATTTCAAGTTGTACCATAAAGGTAAAAACATATAGCACCAATGCTATATAGCATTGTAAAATTCCTCCTATTTTAGACCCCTTTATTATGGCTAGAATTTTCATGATTTACTTATATTTATTGCCATAATAACTTGTATTTGCTTTATAATCACTCAAGAGGTCTTTTAGTAGCTCTAGGATCACTTTTCCTATTTTGATGCACTTTTGGTAGTGTTTCGTGTGCTTTCAGGTTATAACATCCTAGTGGACCACCTTGTACGAGTAGAGGAAGGCTCGTCTGCTGGGAGTTAGAATGCGAGATTGGATCAAGCCCATTGAAAATAGTCGACCACAACCTATATGAACATCAAGGCCTTGATCGTAGTTTTAAAGGGTCTCTGGATTGAGCCCAGATTCTCAAGGAATATATAAAAAATGGCGGCCAATCTAAAAAGACCCAAATGAACTCGAAAAATGTGTCTAGGCCGACTTTTCCTCCCATAAAAAATTATGTAGAAGCCTATAAATAAAACCCTAATGGGTAGAAGTTTGGCAGCTAGTGAGAGGAGGCTTTAGAGGGTCGTTACTCTACCGACATAGTGATTCTCCCAATTTAGAATGAAGCCAAACGCAGAGGGGAAATCAGTGTTAGATTTGACTGACCAGCCGCATATTCTCTATTCTGGTTGGTGATTTAGAGGGCTTTCTAGGGATCTCATTTCGACTTATGTTCCCATAGAAACCCATGCCCATGGTTGGCTAGTTCCTTTGTGTAGGTTTTTGAAACCTAGAGGTTATTTGGCTATGCAACTCTTTGATTTTGGTATATATATGAGATTTTATTCATTTTTATTCTATGTTTGATTTCATTGCGATTTTGGATTGATTGTGAGCTTAGTCGAAGTTACACATCCCTTTGTGATGTGTACTTCAAAATCTGAGTTTGTGTTGGGTGAGATCGGACACGACCATCCTACATGATTGATCATCGATTGATGGACTGTACGACACCTCAAAGGAGAAACCCAAAGGGTTCTTGTTTCCTACTAAATCGGGTAAATCTCGAGACACAAGGTATGAATAGATCTGACATGGATCAAACAGCTCATATGCTTCTAGGATAAAAGATTGCGAGTAAAAGGAACTCTAGTGGGATCTTGCCTATGCAACGCCTCAACCTTCCGATTACTATTAGCATTAAGTCAGGGCATATGTGGACCTTTTTTTGGACCCATGATGATCAGGATGCATAACACACTGAGGAGAATTTCTTGTTCGGTTTCGTTGTTTGTCTTGAGGTTGTTGAACCAAATTGAAAACTCATGTACAACACCTTTGGGGGTTTCAATTACTATGCCTACTTTCGCTCCTCCTTTTCCAGCAAGCCCATCCATGATAATCTCCATGCTTCATCTTTGTTGGTTTTGGAAGCTTCTTATAAGGTGAATCCTTTCGCCACAAGGTCTACTAGGACTTGACCTTTTATTGCGGGGCGGGTAACACAGTAAATGTCATGCTCTCTAAGCTCTAAGATCCACTTAGTCATTATTTCCAGAGGAATGTGTGCCCCCGCATGATAGGTTTTAGAGGGAGGTTGGATAACACTATCACTTGGTCTCCTTGAAAGTAGGGGCGAAGTTTTCAAGCGGCAGTGACTATAGCTAAGACCACTTTCTCCACTAGCATGTACCATGTTTTTGCTAGGAGAAGTGCCTTGCTAACCTAACACACCGATTGATCGAGACCATTAGGAGCATACTTTTTGACTAGCACAGAACTGACTTCTTGAAGAGAGACTACTAGGTAAAGGAATAAATGCTATATGTGTACAAAAGGACTAAGGATGGCCTGATGGGGGCATTATAAGCTGATCTTTCAATTGATTGAAGGTCGCACTTCATTTTTTTCCACTTGAATCGGGAGGCAGATTTTTGGAGCACTTAAAAGAAAGGGGAACATTTTTATATCAAATTATACAATGTTTCCTCATGGTTCGCTAAGTTATCGTCAACCTTTTTGCTTTTGACCAGTACATCATCGACATAGGCTTCTACGTTTCTCCCAAGCTGGTCTATGAAAACTGCATCCACCATCCTCTTATATGTGACACCCACGTTCTTCAGGCTGAAAGGAATCACCGTGTAGTAGTAATTTCCCATCAAGGTTATGAAGGCATTTTCTCTTTATCCTTTTTGGAGACAAGCATATATGATGGTACATAGAGAAAATGTCCAAAAAACTTAGAGTTTCGTGGTTGCTCGTGGCGTCGATAAGTTGATCTATACTTAGAAACAAATACACATCTTTCAGGCAAACATTGGTGAGACAAGTGAAATCAATGCACATTCTCCGCGACTTGGTGCTTTTGTGAACAAATACTAGGTTCGTCACCCAAGGGGGGTACCAAACCTCTTTGATGAACCCTGCCTTTGAGAGGCGTTTAACTTCTTCCTCCATGTCCATTTGCTTTTCAAATGAGATGTTCTTCTCTTTTTCGATATAGGCTTCGTGCCCAACTTTAGTGAGAGCTCGTGCTCAGCCAAATCTTTCGGGACTCTCGATATCTGTTCCGGTCCCAAGATAACAAGTCTTCATACTTCCTAAGGAATTCGAGAAGCTCGTGCGCTTGGTTTTCAGGGAGGTGTGACGATATGCATTAATGACTCGGTATTTGCACATGTTTTCCCCTTTGTTTCTTGATTGTTTGAGCTTGAATTATCGTGTCTTTGTCCTATTTTACGCTAGGTTGTGTTCATTTGTCACATTTCAGGTCCTAGAACATAAAGTGAAGCATAGGCGCAAGTTTCAAGTCAATCAGAGATCAATTGACGATTCGGGAGAAGAAACTCGGGTATGACCTGAAGAAGAATGGATTTCTACCTCACTTTATGGACAAAAAATCATGCAAGCTTGTCATGAAAATAAAGAGGACGAGACTAAGAGCGTCTAGGATCAAACGGCAACTGATTCGGAGTCCGGACGAGGGAGAAACGAAGCATTAAACAGAGGCTGAGCAAGCCACACGGGCACAACCCACACGGCCGTGTAACCTGGCCATGTGGCCGTGTGGAAATCACCGAGCCTTCACACGGGCAGCTGAGAATGCCACACGGCCGTGTGGCCTGGCCGTGTGAGTCGGGAATTGCTGTTTAAAACCCGATTTTCAGCAAAAGGAAAGGGGGAGAGCTGGGTTTTGGATCCCAAACACCCAAGGGACGAACCCTAGAGAGAGAGAGCGACTTGGGAACATTCTTGGAGCTATTTTGGAGGATTTCTTCGCCATTGGAGCTCGGGAATCAAGCTTGGAGATGGAGATTGAAGATCTAGATCAGATTTCTGCAGTCTCTCTCTTCTCTATGGAGTAACTTCCCTTCACTTAGGTTTTGAGAAACCCTAGTTCCATGTGTTAGGATCTTTCTTGTATGAAGTTTTGGATGCTATATTGTTTGATTATAATCGAATGATGCATGTTTATTGAGTCAATTGAAGTTTGATCAACTTTTCTTGATTCCTGCTGCAATCTGAGATAGATAGAATCTGATTAGGTTGCTAGAGTCTCATCATTCAGTAGTAGGAGATTGGCTATACGAGAGTTAGCCAGTTTACTGCTTTGTACTGGAATCCAATTTTAGTAGTGGAGTTCTGTGCTTATTGCTTCAGCTTTCTATCCCGGTGAAGACTAGTCGTCTGACGGATAGTTAGACTGAGAGGGCTTGGTCAGCTTAAGAGATTCCAAGCTACTGTCGGATCTTCCGCAGTTTAATCAACAGTAAATCAACCAAAAGGAATTACAACTTGGACCTAATTGAGGAGCTAGGGGGAATCATACCTAAGTGAGTTCCCAAACTGTAATTAGTAGTTTTACTTAGTTTAGTTAGTAGAGTAGTTTAGTTAATCAATCCTTAATCTAGTTTGCTAGATAATGAACTGAAGCTGAGTAATAGTAACTCTAGAGACCCGTGGATTCGATATTTATTACTTGTGCCACTATACTGCAGTCCCTTTCATTGGTTACACTTGGCCATTGTTAGGTGTTGTGTTTTAGCGTGTCAAGTTTTTGGCGCCGTTGCCGGGGACTTTCTAGAGTATTAGGAAAGGCAGAAGTTTGTTACTTTAGCGTTTTTCTTTTCTTTTCTTTTCCACCCTTGCTTTTCACTTGGGTGTTTTTGTTTCTGTTGGTGCAGATTTGAATCATGGATCCTCATGGCTTCTCCAACAATTGGGGGTATCCACCACCATCCGAGTGGTATTACCCCGAGACCCCCTGGAGCAATCAAAGAGGAGAAGACTATGGATTCGGGTTCCAGTACCAACCCCCTTACTACGGAGAACAACTAGACCCCTGGGCATCTCAAGAACAACCTCATTACCAAGAAGACTTTCTCCCACAACCAGAAGGGCCATCGGAGCTGGAGTTACCCATGGCGGCCTTCACGGGCCACTCTGCAGAGCCATGCTACACTTTACTGGAGGATCCGAACGAACAATTAAGGCTTCTCGTGGAGCAATTTGCTCGAGACACTGAGAAATCATGCTCCAAGATGGATCTTCAAATCAAAGCCCTTGCCACTTCTGATCCCTCATTTCTCCATGATATGGAGGAGACTGTTCAGCGCTCAGCGAAGCAAACAGAGTGGGTGGAGCAAGTTTGCTCACATCTTTCTCAAGATCACCTTTCTGCTACCACGCTAGAAGAGGTGAAGGATGACAAAGGCTACGGGGATGTTGAGGATCATACAGAAGTTATCACAGAGAACTCCCATGATAACCATGATCAGGAAAGTCCTTTGGTTGCAGACCACACCTTTCCTCATTTATGCTCTAACATGCTGGGCCCATGCGAGGAGATGCAAGATGATCCCATTGAAGAAATTGCTTGGCGACTTGCTCTCCAATCTGTTCTAGAAGAAGAAGAGCGAGCAAGGATGAGGAAGGAAGTTGTGGATGATGAGGAAGAAAGAAAAGAAGAGGTGGTTCTTGATCTTTTCCCAGGGGAGAGAGCACATTTTGAAGAAGGAAGGGGGGTTGAGGAAGCAATTGGCGTCCAGGCTGAGGATGAAGTTGAGGTGGAAGAGGCATGCACCGGCCATGAGTTGCAAGTAATATCCCCACCAAACTTTGAGGAACTGCTTGGCAAGGACCCATTTGCAGTGTCTCTTTGCCAGACCAAGGCCACATCGACATCGGTCTCTCTTGGTGGACGCGATGGTGGTCGGTCGATGCTGTCATATCTGGTTTGGGGCAATGAGCCGAGAGAAGAGAAGAAGAGGTCTCGAGGGTGGAGACTTCATCTGCATCAAGTACATGAGCCTTCATCACCTGCCACACCACATGCTCGTGACTTGAGACTCGACCTCATCGACGAGAACCTCAACTTCAAGGAGGTTCTAGCATGGACCGAAACTTAGGAGCCATCGTCCGGCTCACGACGTGAAAGAAGCGCTTGTTGGGAGGCAACCCAACTAGTCGGTTTGCATTTCTTTCTCTATTTCTCCTCGGTTGAATCAGTTTTGTTATTTGATTTTAGAGTCAATAACTCAACCTTTGTGAGATTTTGTGTGGTGTTTGTGTTCTGATTACTCTCTCTTCCTGGAATGCACTGCCTGACCCGTACATCATCATTCACCCTTGATCTGGTAACTTCGTTCTACCCTCCTTATCTTTCCTCCATTGAGGACAATGTCGTGCTTAAGTGTGTGTGTGGGGGGGGGGGGTGTTCGATTATGTATGCGGGTGACTGTTTGGCTGTTTGTGTGCTTGGAGCCTAGTCCACTGTCCAAATTTTTAAATTTGAGGGCTCCAAGTACGTGTTTCCTTGCAAATTGCCTGCTCAGTATGCTTTGAATTGACAGTCTCTATAGTAATGTGCAACCTAGGGAGGTAGTGTAGCACTATGGAGGATGTTGAAGTATAAGATTTTTCCTATCTAGCTCTCTGTTGTGCCAGTTGATTTTGTGAATTAGTGGAGCTAAGACCGTTGAATTCATGTGGTAATGGTGACTCTGTTTGGATTATGTTATGGACTCGTGTATCGAACAGGGTGCTCATATGGAAAATGAGAAGCAGTTGGTCCTCCATGTCAAAATCATTAAATCTTAAACATGGGGTAAGCCCAACGTGTGCGGCACCGTTCATTGCACAAAATCGGGTTTTGGAAGAGATTTTAGTGATCCTTAGTGGGGTACTCCTACAAGGTGAAGCTAAGTTGTCTCTAGTACAAGTAAAACTTCCACCCGTTGAACGGTTTGCCTACTTGAGGATGTGTTTTTAAGGGCACGGATAGAGCTTCCGACCCCCCTTAATTTCATTGACCCTCCACAGGAGTTGAGGAAAAGGAGTTAAAAGAAGTACTCTGGCGAGCTCCAGATGTACAGAAATTGCTCTTGCTCGACTAATAAGGGTCGACCGTGCAAAAGACTACAGTTGGAACCCCACCAAATGAAAGAAAAAATGTAAATGAAAGTGAGAAAAAGGGGTTCCAACGGTGAAATGAAGTGAAAGAGCACCCCGGTACAACGAATCCTTGGTTGTGAATGGTGTGAGTCCCTTTATCCATGAACTGACTGTCTTACTTCTACTTTTTCTCATGATCCTGGTTTGTGTCTAGTACTCGCATTGAGAGAGATAGGGAACGTCTTAGAATACCAATTGACCTCGTAAGCTACTATATGATCTAGGAAATCCGCTACCGACGATCGGGGTTGTATGTTGCTATAGAGCTCTGGAGAGCTGCATTGGTTTGAGTTAGGTTTGCTTGGGGACAAGCAAACAGTTAAGTGTGGGGGGATTTGATGACTCGGTATTTGCACATGTTTTCCCCTTTGTTTCTTGATTGTTTGAGCTTGAATTATCGCGTCTTTGTCCTATTTTATGCTAGGTTGTGTTCATTTGTCACATTTCAGGTCCTAGCACATAAAGTGAAGCATAGGCGCAAGTTTCAAGTCAATCAGAGATCAATTGACGATTCGGGAGAAGAAACTCGGGTATGACCTGAAGAAGAATGGATTTCTACCTCACTTTATGGACAAAAAATCATGCAAGCTTGTCATGAAAATAAAGAGGACGAGACTACGAGCGTCTAGGATCAAACGGCGACTGATTCGGAGTCCGGACGAGGGAGAAACGAAGCATTAAACAGAGGCTGAGCAAGCCACACGGGCACAACCCACACGGCCGTGTAACCTGGCCATGTGGCCGTGTGGAAATCACCGAGCCTTCACACGTGCAGCTGGGAATGCCACACGGCCGTGTGGCCTGGCTGTGTGAGTCGGGAATTGCTGTTTAAAACCCGATTTTCAGCAAAAGGAAAGGGGGAGAGCTGGGTTTTGGATCCCAAACACCCAAGGGACGAACCCTAGAGAGAGAGAGCGACTTGGGAACATTCTTGGAGCTATTTTGAAGGATTTCTTCGCCATTGGAGCTCGGGAATCAAGCTTGGAGATGGAGATTGAAGATCTAGATCAGATTTCTGCAGTCTCTCTCTTCTCTATGGAGTAACTTCCCTTCACTTAGGTTTTGAGGAACCCTAGTTCCATGTGTTAGGATCTTTCTTGTATGAAGTTTTGGATGCTATATTGTTTGATTATAATCGAATGATGCATGTTTATTGAGTCAATTGAAGTCTGATCAACTTTTCCTGATTCCTGCTGCAATCTGAGATAGATAGAATCTGATTAGGTTGCTAGAGTCTCATCATTCAGTAGTAGGAGATTGGCTATACGAGAGTTGGCCAGTTTACTGCTTTGTACTGGAATCCAATTCCAGTAGTGGAGTTCTGTGCTTATTGCTTCAGCTTTCTATCCCGGTGAAGACTAGTCGTCTGCCGGATAGTTAGACTGAGAGGGCTTGGTCAGCTTAAGAGATTCCAAGCTACTGTCGGATCTTCTGCAGTTTAATCAACAGTAAATCAACCAAAAGGAATTAAAACTTGGACCTAATTGAGGAGCTAGGGAGAATCATACCTAAGTGAGTTCCCAAACTGTAATTAGTAGTTTTACTTAGTTTAGTTAGTAGAGTAGTTTAGTTAATCAATCCTTAATCTAGTTTGCTAGATAATGAACTGAAGCTGAGTAATAGTAACTCTAGAGACCCGTGGATTCGATATTTATTACTTGTGCCACTATACTGCAGTCCCTTTCATTGGTTACACTTGGCCATTGTTAGGTGTTGTGTTTTAGCGTGTCATGCATACCATCTATTTATGGGTTTTCATCCTAGAGTGGAATGGCAATGTTTCCTTCCACCTCCCGTGGTCATGAGGCATTTGATTTTGGGCCCATAAGGTCCACCTCGAGTTGCTCGACCATTGCTTGGTAGCATTCCTTTGCTTGCTGTGAGTTTCCCTTTGCACTTCAAGAAGTCCCCCACTCAGAATTTTTAGCATTTGATGGCATGTTGATAGTATAGCACCAAATGTGGCAAGGAATCCCCATCTCAAGATGGTATTGTAAGCCGATGAGCATTCTACCACATGGAAGTTCATCAACTTGGTCTTTGTCATTCTCGCTTCCCCGATGTTCACTTTCAAGGTGATTACGCCCAAGGCATCAATTTTGGAGTCAGATAAACTGATGAGGCTTATGGTGTATGGGCATAGGTCATCACTGCTCTTCCTCATGTTCTTGAGCATGGAATAGAAGAGTATGTATGTCTGGCTGCCATTATCAACTATGGTGCATGTGACCTTTTACTTTCCAATTCTGTAGGTGATAACTAGCGGATCTTCATATACGAACATAATTATTTCTTGAGCACTTTGCTTGATCCTACTCGTTCCTTGTCCTATTTTCCGCTAGAGTTTTTTCTTTTGTCATATTTCAGGTCCTAGTACGTGTATGGAGCCTACGAACGAGTTTCAAAGCATTTGGAGGAAAAGGGTTGAGAAAGCCATGCCAAGGATTGAGAGAGTCATGTCACGGTGTGGGACATGACTATTGCATCCTAGCCATGACTTAGCACCGAGAAACAGTAAACTTTTTCATGTCACGGCCTTGCAACGCATGTCTTAGCCAATGCTCACAAATTAGTACACCAAATCGTGACTTGCCCCTTAACAATAAAAGAAACAGACGAGTTTTGGTTTATTCACAACTTGAGTCACGACCCTGAACCTACCCGTGAATAGCCCATAAACGTGAGCCTGCCCTTGAGTGGTGCACTATAATTGGGGATGAAAGCTATTTTTGCAATCTTTGAGAGAGGAGGCTGGGTTTTGGTTTTCAAACACCCTAAGAACGAACCTTAAAGGGAACAGGTTTTCCAAGGGCGATTTTGGGAAATTTCATCACCAAGGAAGCTCGAAAAACAAGCTTGGAAGTAGGAATCGAAGGCTTAGAGTAGATATATGCAATTTCCTCTTTTTCTATGAGGTAATCTCCATTCTCTTGGTTTTTGAAGAACTTTAGCTATGTGAATGTCGAATTGATGATTATATTAGTACTCTTTCTTCCCAAACTCAATTTTGTATCCAATCTGTGCATGTTTTGATGTTCAATTTTGCTTTAATCGATATTATTGATTTTGCTATTGACTTATAGAGAATACATGATTATGTCTATTGGAGCATCATAGGTTGGGAATAGGGGATTAATAACACGAGTGAGTCGATTCAATTATTTGTCTTGAGTGAGAATCTCACCAATAGAGGGAATCTAGTGTAGAATGCCTTGATTGGTCGTGTTAGAGAAGGATATATCCCTCTAAGAGATTGACTCAAGAAGGCATTGATTGCTATAATCAAGATTCAAGGTCTAGTCAAGAATTTTCCGCATTGTGAATGAAGAGTGGAAGAAGTTAGAGATTCATGCGTCATTAATCCGATAGTGGCTAGTGGGACCCCAATGAGCTCTCAACGGTAATTAGTTGTCTAACCTTAGTGAATTTGTTATAGTAGTTTAGTTGTTCAATCATTAATTTGCTTGGCTAGATAACAAACCGAAGCGGAGTAATAGTACACTTAGAGACCCATGGATTCAATATTTTATTATTTTACTTCCACTATACTGTAATCGATCTCTAGTTATACTTGGCTATTGATTAGGATTGCAGTTTAGAGCCAATCATCTATCGAGGGACTCTTCATCGGTGAGCTCCGTTGGGATAATGTCAATCTCGATTTGCTCTTTGGTTCTTATGCTCAAGCAATGTGCTAGGCCACTTACGTGGCGAGGGCATTTTTTATACCCTTCAGAAATTGTTATAACCTCTTTGTCATCATTGTCCAAACGTGCCTGCCATCACGGTGGAGCACCAGGCGACATCGAATGGAGATATTCATGCAGGGGTTCGTGAGCGTCAAGTCTATTTCTAAGGCCCTTGGGAGCCAAGCTATGTAGGTTAAATCTTAGTTCTTTGCAGTCAGTTGTGTCATACGAACCCATATAATGAAACACCCTAACACGGCCGGGTGCTAATTTTACTAAAATGCCCTTGAAAAATAAAATACTCCAGCTTAAACCGCAGCGGGAAATATTTCATAAATAAAATACTGAAAACACACTCTTGTAGTTCAAGCAACGCCCTAACACATGGGCAAACTCAATACTTAAAATCTCAAAGTGATCTCCAGTCTATACTCATAATCGTAAATGTAAATAACTAATAATCTCTAATGTTGCTACTACCGAAAACCTTGACTAAGCATCCTCCGTGACGCTTATACTGCCCTCCTCTAGCTGGCTGCCCTCGAACTCGCTGCTCACTAGCTGCTCCTTTAGCTCCTCTAGCTCTTCAAACTGGTGAGTGAGATGGGGTCAGTCTACACCTTTATGTTTATTACTTTTAGTACTTGAGCACTTTGCTTAAACACTTACTTAAACTTATGGAAGTTGTTTGTACTTCCACCTTTAAACTTTAACTCTTAAAACTGTGTTATCTCATCCTTTATCTTATTGGTGCCCCTACCTCGACTTAGCTGGCGCCACTACTAGCTTACTTACTTTCTTACTTCTTAAACATGACTACCCTCACAATGGGGTGCCCCTCAAATGGGGTTGACCACCGCGGAACGAATCACCATCCGGTGTCAAACTACGGCGTGACTACGGCGGAACGTATCACCATCCGGTAGCACACCTAAACCTAGGCAATGGAGACCGCGGAACTCATCACCGTCCGGCTCCACGCCTGACCAACTACCGCGGAACGTATCACCATCCGGTAGTGATCAACTACCGCGGAACTTATCACCGTCCGATAGGGATCTGTCTAGCTAGTGGCTAGCTAAGCGAGGTTACTTATTCTTACTTAAGACTTTCTCTTACTCTTATCACCATAACTTATCACTCCTTCTTAACGTTGTAAAAAATAGACTTAAATTATGAAACGTAGATATTGAAATGTTCAAAACAATAACTCAAGTCGAGGCATGTATAATCAACACAATCATAAATCAAGCAGTGCACATACACTTCACGTAAAGCAAGTATAAGGCAAAAACCTAAAAATACGTAAGACGTAGAATTTACCCCCTTTACACTCACCTTATGTTTAAGTTTGTCGGTTTGACCATCGACTTAATAAACAACCACTCCCTATGTATATGTTGGCTCCGTCTCCTCGGTTGATCACACGGCTGTAGTGTGAATAATTGGGTTGGTTCCCTCCATGGCCACCCTAATTACTCCTTCTAAAAAAAGTTTCTGCCTCCCATGGGTCATCCTAATCCCTTTCCAAAACCATCCACGTTAACCTTTCAAAAAGTGAAATTCCTCCCCGTCAACGTGTGATATGGCTTGAACTTATAATAATTGATACATATACAGAGATCTCTAATGCCCATCGTCTTGAAGGTGACAACACAGTACCGCCGCTAGCTTAATTTAGGTGAAACATAATCAAATCAACATAACCACTGTAGAATCATTTAGGAGTTGGGACTGCTTACCTCGGTGACACTATATTTTCGTTTTCAAATTGGGGCGCTTATCTCCAGCGTCCCATCCCAACAGTCTTTCTGTATTCCCTTCTTGCTCCGGGAAGAGGACACAATCGCTACACTTTTTGGAGGGGGAGCAATTATCGACTAGTGCGGGTGCACAATTTTTCCTTGTAAGGAGAGCGATTGTGCTTGTTCTGGCTAGTGGAGAGAATCCGAGAGAGAAGAGGTGAGGTGATTGTTTTGGTTCTTTGTCTCTGTAGGTTTGTAGCGTTATTAAACGCAAGGAGAGAGAGAGACATTTGAGGTCGAGAGAGGTAACAGGTGGGATTCCTTTTTACGTTATTAGCCGGTGAATTAATTGGGTAAATTCCTACCGAGGTTACATGGAGATGGTTGGTGAAAATAATCAATAACTTAACCTTAGGTGCGAATGAAAAGTGGGAAGGTTTATCTTTACAAGGTCTCTAATTTAGCTAGGATAGGTATCTCGACAGTAGTATTTATCTAGGATGGGGTGGTATACAAATAGAGCAAAATAATTAGAGAAGATTAGAATTAAGTTAGTCCTAATTAGGATTAATCACTACAAATTAATTAAAATTTAACCTCAATGGGTAATGGGTAATACCCTACACAATTTGGAATTGCCCCATTTCCTTATTACCGGTCAAACCAAAACCCAAAAGTCGGGATGTAACATATAATGCCAGCCATCTAATGCCAGTCACACCACTCCGGTCCCCAGAGTCCGGATTCCCTCTTGAATCAGATTCTTTGTGCCAATCGCTTTGCTTTTCATCCCTTATATTTGTTGCATACACCTCTCCGTGGGCATCTCAGTCTGCAACCCTTTGGTTGTACATTATTCTTTCTAGAGATCGCCCTTTGCGTTTTGGGGTTCGAGCGTCCCTTTTACTCCCTTGCACCCATACCCTTCTTCCTTCGGTTGACCCATCTTGTTCGGTTCCTCCAGTGCTAACGCTTCTTCTAGTGTGATAGCGCGTCAAGTTCTGGCCATGAGTTGAGGCAATGCTCTTTCTTGATCAACGCACATTTGAGTTCATTATTGTGCGTTGACATCCTGAGTTCAATGATACCTTCAGGAAGCGAAGAAAACCAAGTCATGCAGCGCCTCTTGAACATGATTGGGAACGCCTAGTGCAAGCATTCAACACGTTAAGGAGCTGCATTTTAAGCATGAACGCGCTCAAGTAGTTAATTAGGTCGGTGTTGCAGTTGTATGTCGGCAATCCCAACGAGGAAAAGTTAGGCGGGACTTTGCATCTTGAACAGTCTTTGGGCGAGTGGGTGGTGGAGTACATTGGGTTCTTTGTTTTCCCCTTATGATGATCTTAATTGCTCTTCCAGGAAGTTGAAGTCATACTCTACGTGCTCCTCCTATGACTCTTCCATTTGTGAGGGTTTGGACTATCCGACAAGGCAATGGTCTTGAGCTTCTGCGTTTTCCTTTTTTGCCCCAGAGATCTCTGGCTTGTTCTTCTTCCCTTCCCTTTTTAAGAATGTCAGAATTTGGCTTAGGCTATCTTCCATGTTCGAGATTTGCTTCTTGTGATCCTTGACTTGGTCTTCGAGTTCAATTTCTTTTTCGACGAGGGGGAGTTATCATCCACGGATCACAGGTTTTTTCAACATGTCCCTACAATGAACACCAAATGTTTAATGCTGAATTGTACCCGAACTATAAATTCCACACCATCTAAGCACCATAGGGTATACGCTTCTCTTAATCTTGAAGCCCTCGTTTGTTGTGTTTCTTCTTTCATGAAATGACAAGTATGAAACAAACCCATGAAATTTGGCCTAATTTCTACCGAACTAGGTACAACCGTACAAGTATCTAGCACCTCCTCAAGTTTGATATCTCGTAAGAAAAGATTCCGACAGATACCTCCCCATTATGCCTTTCCCCGCGTCAATGGACTCAAAAATTTGATGCGGCCCTGCCTCGTCCTAGCTGTCGGTAAACTTGACGCGCTGATAATCGAAGGGCACTAATGGACTCCGTTCCCACTTGATAAATAAATGATAATTACGGTGCCAAAATCTACCTAGTTATCTTAATTAACACGACCTTTCTTGCTTTCTTTCTTTTAATTATTTTTTCTCCACCGTAGGGTACGTTGATTAACTCTGGCACCAAACCCGGAATCAATCAAAGCAAAGGGACTCCGAAAAGGAAAACGAAAGGAAGAGAAAAGAAAAGAAAACAGCACACGTTAAGGAAACAAACCCGGAGAAGAAAAAAAAAAAAAAAAAACTCAACTAATGGTTTGATTCTTCACAACAGAACAGAGGGAAAGAAGTAAGAGGAGTAGACGGGAAGAGGCTTCAATTCTCCGATTCTCTCACTCTTTTCTTTTTTTTGCTGGGTTTTAGCTTCTCCCCCATTTCGTGTTCGATTTTTCTGTGTGCATATTTTGAAGTCCTTTTTCCTCCACCGGCGGGGGTTGATTGGTAGGAGGACCAAGAAATTTCTGTCCTTCTCCCTCCCGCTTCCGTTTCAAAACTCTCACCCCCTACCGCAAGCTTTCTTCTGTAAATTTGCTCTAGCTTTTGAGAGGTTGTAGAAGGACGAAGAGACGGGCAGTCTGAAAGCTGAGCACTAGCTCAGCACTCTCGTGCTCGGCTGCTGGATGGTTTGCAGCGGGAGGCCGCGGCAGTAGATCGAGGAGCTGCTTAGAGTTTCTAGATCTGATTAGCTCCGCTTGGAAATGGTACTCGCAGTTTAATAATTTTTCCCCCTTGACGAATTCATCTACTTTCGTGTGATTGTATTGCCAATTTGACTTGGTCGGTGGACCGATCTGTTCTACTTTCTTTGCACTCCTGCTGTTTCACTAGCCTTTATTGATCTACGTGGGAAATAGACTTGTTAGTATTGGCTGCGGTATTTGTTTGCGTATTGCTTCTGAAAGCAGGAGTTTCCGGCGAAGTTGTTGATGGTAAATGCTGTGGTTTCTTTGGAAAATTTCATTTGACTGTGCCGGGGTGGTTTTAATGGTGGATGTGCGAGAATGTGGTTTGTGTTTGAGAGGTTTTGTTGGAAACATGAATATTGATCAGATGCAGTGCCACGAAAAGGATTCCCCCTCCCACTTCTATCAAATTTGAGTTGACTTGGTAGCTCTGGAGTATCAGTTAATTACCTGGCCATGGATTGAGATACCCCATTTACCTTCTAATTTGTGTGATATTTCCTCTGGTTTCTGTCGTTCTGCCAGGTGGACTGGGAGATTGATATTTTCTTTAATTAGGGTATCTTGAAACGCAGTGTCTGGGATTATCTTCTATTTCGCTGCATTTCCATACTGTTAACTTGTAATGTTTGGTAATTAGAACTAGCTCAAGAATCCTTGTCCCAGAATAGGGGCTTTCATTTTGATGCATTCATTTGTGGTCTCTTTCTTTCTGTTATTTTTCAAGTTCTATAACCCGGGTTTCGTTGGGATTAAAAGTTCACTGCAGTAATTAATCTTTCCTGGTTGGAAACATCAGTTAGTGGTTTCCACTAGGCAAGACTAATGTTTGTGGGCGGAAATATTTTGTTCGGGAGTGACACCATTAAGGTACTATACCAGGGAAGGCAATTCCTATGTGTTATATTCATTCTCCAACAAAATAGTTGGCAAATGAAAGCAATGAACATTCTTTCTGTTGTCTCAGAATGATTGGGTATGAAGTATGAACCATGTAACTAGCACTTTTATTTTTGTCTCCTTCGATATAGAAGTTAGGTAATCTTGTACATCATATGATAGATGTTATTGAAGTTGCAGCCATTGACACTTGATAGGGTCTTGAATTTCACAGGCTGCTAGTGTTAGTCTGGCTGTTGGGTCCCTTGTTTGGGTGGAGGATCCTGACACAGCCTGGATTGATGGTGAAGTCGTGGAGATCAAGGGTGAAGATATTAAGGTCCTCTGCACATCAGGAAAAACAGTGAGTGTCTAGAACTTATAGCTCTGTAACAGTCATACATTTCAATGTAGACTAGAGAAACTGATGGGATCCTGAAATGTGTTCACTTGTTATCTCATCTCACTTTTGTATCTTATCTTTTGAGTTTCATTTGTGGTTAGTGTATGCATCCCTGCCTGGATTTTCTTGCATTGACTTTCAGACTCATGCTGTGTACTTTCTCTCTTGATATGTAACTACTAGGTTGCTGTCAAGGCTTCCAATGTGTATCATGTAGACACTGAAGCCCCACCATGCGGTGTGGATGATATGACAAGACTATCTTACTTGCATGAACCCGGAGTCTTGCAGAATCTCAGATCTAGATATGATATGAATGAAATTTATGTAAGTGTTCCCATACATGATATGTTGTGTCCATTCTGTGTTTCTTTCATTCTTTGACTATGTAGTCAAAGCTGGTTTACCTATTGCTGCCTGCAGACCTACACTGGGAGTATATTGATAGCTGTGAATCCATTTATGAGGCTACCACATCTCTATGATATCCATATGATGGCGCAATATAAAGGTGCAGCCTTTGGCGAGCTGAGTCCACATCCTTTTGCAGTTGCAGATGCCGCATACAGGTACTATTTCTTTTAATTCAGGTTTTCAACTTTTTCTTATGTTTGTTAACAATGGTAGATCATTGCTGCTAATGCAGACAGATGATACATGAAGGGATCAGTCAGTCAATTTTAGTCAGTGGTGAGAGTGGTGCTGGTAAAACAGAAAGTACAAAATTGCTCATGCGGTATCTTGCTTACATGGGAGGAAGAGCTGCTACAGAGGGAAGGACTGTCGAACAACAAGTTCTTGAGGTAATGTAGTCGCACAATTCTCTGATGCGTAGATAAGATGTTTTAGTAATGTTCTTTAATTCCTTAGCATAACCATATCTAATTGCCTTCTCCCACTGTAGTCAAATCCTGTGTTGGAAGCATTTGGTAATGCCAAGACTGTTAGAAACAACAACTCAAGGTGTGAAACTCAATGTTTTAAAGATATTTTTATATTCCATCATTCCTCCTATTTGTTTTATACTCGTATCTTATTGCACTTAATGCTCCAGTCGTTTTGGTAAGTTCGTCGAGATTCAGTTTGACCAGAAGGGAAGGATTTCCGGAGCTGCAGTCAGAACTTATTTGCTGGAAAGGTCACGTGTTTGTCAGGTTTCTGATCCTGAGAGAAATTATCACTGTTTCTACATGCTTTGTGCTGCACCGCCTGAGGTAAATATTCTTCTATTCCTTTGCTTTTTTCATACAAAAAGATTGAATGGGTATCACGTCTACTAATGTTTTGGGCTTAACATGTCTAAGGATTTAGAACAGTCTTTGGAAACTGAAATGTAATTGATGTTGGAGGAAAATTTTGGTTCAACATTTCAGGAGGTTCAAAAGTACAAATTGGGAAACCCAAGAACTTTCCACTATCTGAATCAATCAAACTGCTATGAACTGGACGGGGTTGATGATTCTAAGGAGTATATTGATACTAGAAGGGCGATGGAGATTGTTGGCATAAGTAACGACGAGCAGGTATTGCAATGGTGAAAATCTAGTCTCCTGGTGTGTTCTCCTAAGCGTCCGTAATTCTGTCTATCAATGTATCCAGGATGCTATATTTCGAGTTGTGGCTGCAATTCTTCATCTTGGGAACATCGAATTTGCAAAAGGGAAGGAGATGGACTCGTCACTGCCCAAAGATGAGAAATCTCACTTCCACCTGACAACTGCATCCGAGTTGTTGATGTAAATATGCAATTTGTTAGCTGCTGTGCATAGCAAGGCTCATGTTATGTTCTGGGTGTGTTTGTTTAGACTTCTCTTTCATGAAGAGACTTTTAGGAAGGAAAAGTAGATGAATAAAGGTGTATTTGTTTTTACTTTTAGACAAAATTGGGTTGATGAGTCATATTTTTTGGTAATAAAAAGTAATTGATGGAATGTAAATAGTTTGTTTAATGATATGAAAAATGAGTGGATTTTCGGAAATGACTAATGTCGCTGCACGCATAAGAATATATTTTATTCCAGAAGGGAAGGATGGAAATGAATTTTCTCCAATTGAGGCGACTTTTAGGTTTTAATAATTTGTAGAAATAGTGCGAATAGTTAGTTTATGAAGTCAGAATGAAATTTCGTTTGCTTGCACTATAGTTTTTCTTTCCTGAAAGAATATTTTAGGAAAGTCTAAACAAACACACCCTCTGAATGTGATGTTTTGTTATATGGTCTTTAATGTATTGAAATTTTCATTTTTTACAGGTGTGATGTGAAGGCTCTAGAAGACTCTCTTTGTAAGCGTGTGATTGTGACTCGGGATGAAACGATCACAAAGTGGCTAGACCCAGAATCTGCAGTTCTTAGCAGAGATGCTCTGGCTAAAACTCTGTATTCAAGGTTGTTTGATTGGTAAGTGTTGGGTGACAAACTAGACCGGCGTAATGTTATGGAGGATTGTGAAATAGATCTTATGTTCTACCCCTGTTTATGCAGGATTGTGGACAAGATTAATAATTCAATCGGGCAGGACCCTAACTCAAAGGTCTTAATTGGAGTGCTGGATATCTATGGATTCGAGAGTTTCAAGACAAACAGGTGCATATGTGGCATGATTTTTGTTTTCTTTTGCGGAAGCAATTGGTTCGTAGAAGAGATAATGGTTGTCCTATTTCCATGTCTCAAATGATATTCTGTCTGAGGCATTGGAAAGTATGGGACAACATATTGGTATCATGAGTAAGAAGCGTTGGTTTTAGTGATATTTGACTAGGGACGTTAGACACTTTGTATTTGGCTTTTAGTTGACATGAAGTTTGGTGTTTATCATCTTGTTCCTGCACTGATTGTTTATTGCAGTTTTGAGCAATTTTGCATCAATTTGACCAATGAGAAGCTTCAGCAACATTTCAATCAGGTATGTTTTACAGGAGATATTCGTTAACTTGGCATCATCATTCTACTCTCACACTTGGAATGATTCTGATGTATGAATCATGCAGCATGTTTTTAAAATGGAGCAAGAAGAATATACCAAAGAAGAAATTGATTGGAGCTACATTGAGTTTGTTGATAATCAAGATATTCTAGATCTTATTGAAAAGGTTTGTTTGTACCAAGTGGTTGGCCTTTTTTTCTTCTCTTTCTTGCTTCCTTTCCGTGCAATGTTACACTAATCCAAAGAAAAATAGGACACCATGATGAAATATTTATCCAACACTTGTGATTCCTGTTTTCATATGTTTAGAATTCATTGTTTTGTGTGTTAATTTTCAGAAACCCGGCGGTATAATTGCTCTTCTGGATGAAGCTTGGTAAGTTTAGTTTTTGTATTGTTGCTACCTTGTTTCTTCTTTGAATGTACATCGATGAGACTGAGACAGTACTTTTTGTTGGAATATTGTGAGTTGTTGATAGCGTACGTGCGTCTTGACTCTTAATTTTATGCAGTATGTTTCCAAGATCAACGAATGAAACATTTGCGCAGAAGTTGTATCAGACATTTAACAATCATAAGAGGTTCAGCAAGCCAAAACTAGCACGAAGTGACTTCACTATTCACCACTATGCTGGCGATGTAAGTCATTGCCATTTCGGTGCTCATATATTTTGTATACCTTTAGGAATCAATCTTCTTTTGTTAATTTAAATGTTTGACTTGCTCAACAGGTTACATACCAAACAGAGTTGTTCCTGGACAAGAATAAGGATTATGTTGTTGCTGAACATCAGGGGCTCTTGAATGCTTCGACCTGTCCCTTTGTTGCCAGCTTGTTCCCACCTTCACCTGAAGAATCCTCCAATAAATCAAAGTTTTCTTCAATAGGTTCCCGTTTTAAGGTAAATTTTTTATATATATCTTTTTGCGTCAAGAACCCTTGATAACTATCGTGGTTCTTTGACTATGCAGCAACAATTGGTATCTTTGCTTGAAACCCTCAGCTCAACAGAGCCACATTATATTCGTTGTGTGAAGCCCAATAATCTACTCAAACCAGCTATCTTTGAGAGCAAGAATGTTCTTCAGCAACTGCGTTGTGGGGTGAGATTGTGCTCAAACTCATGGAATAGGCCATTTTTGCAGTTGAAACTGACCTACTAATAATGTTTTGTTAATAATTAGGGTGTTATGGAAGCAATTAGGATTAGTTGTGCTGGGTATCCCACTAGAAAGCCATTTGATGAATTTGTTGATCGGTTTGGTATTCTAGCACCTGAAGTATTAGATGGAAGGTACCAAATTCTCTTGTCTCCTTTTGTTTTTCTTGTTATTATCCGTTATTGCCGTCACCAATTTTTCTTGTGGTAAAATATTGATTTTAGGAATGATGAAGTTACTGCATGCAAGAAGCTTATGGAGAAGGTCAGGCTTGACGGCTATCAGGTTAGTCTCTTTCTAGTGAAAAAAATACTTTATAGTTGAGGTGTATAGTATAGGTTGCTCTTTGTGTACTCAGTTGCTCAATCTTGTGCGTGCAATGTGAGATTTGGCTTAAATTTGATGAATTATATGTTTATTAGTCATAGTGATGTGGGGCATTAGAGATGGATGATCCTAGGAATACTGTCAATTGAAGGTTTATTCAAAATTTTCAGCAAGCAATGCGCTTAGCAGTTCTGCAGCTAATATGATAAGAAAAAGCTCTCCACTTTCTTATGCTGTAACAAATTTGACATTGTAGATTGGTAAGACAAAGGTTTTTCTCCGGGCTGGTCAAATGGCAGAACTAGATGCTCGCAGGACTGAAGTATTAGGAAGATCAGCAAGCATCATTCAGAGGAAGGTCCGTGCTTATCTGTCTCGAAGAACATTTATCCTCATCCGCCGCTCTGCTGTACAAATTCAAGCTGCATGCAGAGGTATTCTGTTGTGTTGCAATTGCTTTGATGCATCTTTGACTCGTACCTGTCCCTGCTGTAAACTTTTGAGGATTTGTCTAAACTGTTGTGAGTTCTTTTGTCTATACTACAGGGCAGCTTGCTCGGGTGCTTTATGAGAGCATGCGAAGAAAGGCTGCTTGTCTCAGGATCCAAACGGACTTGCGCATGTATGTTGCAAGAAAAGCTTACAGAGAAATATGTTTTTCTGCTATTTCCATTCAAGCTGGAATTCGTGGGATGGCTGCCCGTGAAGACTTAAGATTCAGAAGGCAGACAAGAGCGGCAATCATAATTCAGGCAAGAACATTTGAGCAGTAAAACACTAAGTTCAAATAGTTCATAAAAGCAGTTTCACCAATTGTTGCAATGTAGGGCACATATAGGAATAACAGGATTTCGTAAACCTATTTTTATTATTTATTTGCTCCTGTCCATCATATTTTTTTGTGTGTGTAGAAGTTGACCTTTGTCTTCCTGTACTCAGAGTCATTGTCGCAGATACTTGGCCTGGTTGCAGTACACTAGATTGAAGAAAGCAGCAATTACAACACAGTGCGCATGGAGAGGAAGAATTGCTCGTAAGGAACTGAGAACACTTAAGATGGTAATATATTTCCCTCCTTGACTAATTTTGTTTGTGCTAATGGGGTTGTTCAGTGATTTTAATTTCATGATCGATCCTTTATTATCTGTCACTGCATTGAATGAAGGGGTCACTTCATGCTGAACATGACATGCTCATTCTTTTTCTGTGCAAAGAGAGATTATACTGCTTGTTGTAACTTGGAAGCCGTTTGGTAGTCCATGCTGTTGTCTGGTTGAACTCCATTTGAGGAGCCTGAGCTACTGCATAAGTTAACATTTATGTAATTTGCAAACGTTATTTCTATTTGGGACTGTATGTGTTATTACTTCTCCTTGTTAAGCAGTTCAAGGCATTGCTTTTCTTTGCCTCTTTCCTGTGCTAAATTTGGACATCCTTTGAACTTTTGTTTCAGGCTGCTAGAGAGACTGGAGCACTTCAGGCAGCCAAGAATAAGTTGGAAAAGCAAGTTGAAGAGTTGACCTGGAGACTTCAGCTGGAGAAACGCATGAGGGTATGTACCATTACCACTTTCTCTGTAAAAGCTCTTAACTATGCCAGTTCATTAAAATTCTGAAAGCTACTTTGTTAGTCATGACCTTTTTGATGTTTGGCTCACTCGGTCTTGCGATCCATGGAATATTTACGATTCATGGAACATAGAAGCATGGAACGTCATACGAACGGATATGTACATTACATAATTTAGGTGCATTTTTTTTTTAAAGTGACTCATATGGTTCTTTTAAAAAAATCATTTTTATCCCTTTATCAATTAATTAACTTAAATAAACAAGTGCACTTATGGAATTCAACCTTGCCAGGTGAGAATCCTACCTTTGCCCCATGAAATTTAGATTCTATCTCCAAATGGAAAGTGGATTCAGTTTCTCCCAATTTCCTTCCCCTTAATAGACCAACCAACCAATGGATTTTGCAGTTTCCATCATGATAGAATTGAACCAATGTTTCATGACCACATTCGATCAACCTAGCGATCCAATATATGAAAATGAGCTACTCTTGGCGTGGGTTTAAATTTACCTCGAAACTTGTGTGTACCTTATCATAATATATATTTGTGCCTCAATATTCTCATTTTGATGTGTAGGCTGATCTGGAAGAAGCTAAAACACTTGAAAATACGAAACTACAATCTGCTTTGCAAGAAATGCAACTAGAGTTCAAAGAAACCAAAGAAATGCTTGTGAAGGAGCGTGAGGCTGCTAAGAAGGTAGCAGAAATTGTCCCCGTGATACAAGAGGTCCCAGTAGTTGACAATGCAATGATGGAGAAGCTTACAGCTGAAAATGAGAAACTGAAGGTGAGGATGTTACTTTCTGCGGCCTCTTGTAATGATCGACCCCTCACATGTGTCTTGTATTGTTGGAATTCTTAAGAATGTTTTAGGCGTGCATAATAACATCACTAAAGCTTTCCTAATCAAGAAACTTTGTCACGTTTCAGGCTATGGTTAATTCATTGGAACAGAAAATTGATGAAACTGAGAAGAAGTTTGAAGAGACAAGCAGAATAAGTGAACAGAGGCTGAAGCAAGCTCTAGAGGCGGAGTCAAAAATGGTTGAACTGAAGACTGCTATGCATAGGTATGGCATTGTTGGAGGGTTATCTTTTCTTACACTCTAGTAGTTGATTCAGCAAATAGTGTGATTTTAGATGTATTATCCTCGCTTGTGATGAACTTTCATTTTCTTGCCTATTTTACAGTCTTGAAGAAAAATTTTTGGACATGGAAACTGAGTACCATGTGCTTCGGCAGAAGGGCCTACCACAGACTCCTGCTAAGAAGCCATCTGATAGACCGCCAGTTCCACCATCTCACGTAAGTATTTCCTCTCAAGATATTAATGACCATATCTTCCCCACTTGTCCCAGTTTCTCTTTATTTAACTTTTCATTTCCATTGCAGAGCTTGGAGAATGGTAACGAGGAGAGTCGCGTCAATGTAATGCACTTACCTGATAATCTGCATACAGTACGAATGGCTTATACTTTATGATTACAAAGAACTAGTTTATGTATGCAGGAACCACAGAGTGCAACACCTGTAAAATCTTATGGTACAGAGTCGGACAGCAAGTTCAGGAGGTCACATATTGAACGCCAACATGTATGTTTTGTCAAGCACTTTTGTTCCATCTGGCATGGTTTTGTTTTCTCTTACATATCTTTTTCCTCATACAGGAGAGCATCGATACTCTTATCAACTGTGTTATGGGCAACATTGGGTTTAGTCAAGGAAAGCCAGTTGCGGCATTTACCATTTACAAGTGTCTCCTCCATTGGAAGTCTTTTGAAGCAGAAAGGACTAGTGTATTTGATCGTCTCATTCAAATGATTGGTTCTGCTATTGAGGTAACTGATTTGCGTTGTGCTCCAATCCGAAATTTTACTCGGAACTTAGATTCTGGAGAAGGTAAATATTCAACTCTGATTTTGGGCGCAGAATGAAGATAACAATGACCATATGGCATACTGGTTATCAAATACTTCTGCTTTATTGTTTTTACTGCAAAAAAGTCTGAAAGCAGCTGGTGCAAGTGGCACAACTCCAAATCGTAAACCCTCTTCTGCTGCATCCTTGTTTGGCAGAATGGCAATGGTACAACAATTTGTTGTTTCCCGTTATTTTCTCTTGAGCTACATTGTTGTTCTACTGCAAGAACAGTTAGTTGATATGGGTTGATTTCCTTGAATCACAGGGTTTCCGATCATCACCTTCTTCCAATAGCCTTGCTATTGCTTTAACAGTAGTACGCCAAGTGGAAGCAAAATACCCAGCTTTGCTTTTCAAGCAACAACTTGCGGCATATGTGGAGAAAATTTATGGGATTATTCGAGACAACTTGAAGAAGGAATTGACGTCTTTGCTTTCCTTGTGCATCCAAGTATGTTTCACTTGACTGTGCTACTCGATTCTGTTTCCGCCTGAAGTCTTGTAACAGTGGGTAGTGAGTTTTCCGAATTTGACTTGGAAATTTGTTTCTTATGATGATCAAACCTTCTTTATAGGCACCTAGAACATCGAAGGGGAGTGCACTAAGATCTGGGAGGTCATTTGGCAAGGATTCCGCACCAAGTCACTGGCAGGGCATTATTGATAGTCTCAATAATCTTCTCAGCACTTTGAAACAAAATTTTGTATGACCTCCCCTTGTTTTTTCTTTTATGGTCTCTGAAGATATATATTGCCTGCTTTCGCAGGTGTACTCATTTACTGTATGTGATTTCAGGTCCCCCCAGTCCTTACGCAGAAAATCTTTACACAAACCTTCTCTTACATCAATGTACAACTGTTCAATAGGTGAGTTGTGGATTTTATTATTTCAGGGTGGAATTGTTTTCTAGGACATGAACTTTGTATAATGCTCATGGTATGTGTCCAGCCTCCTCCTGCGTCGTGAGTGTTGTACATTTAGCAACGGTGAATATGTCAAATCTGGATTAGCTGAACTGGAGCAGTGGTGCTGTCAAGCTAAGGACGAGGTATTCACTGTTATTTATAGTTCATTTTCATCAGATATAGGGTTAGTCTGCAACTCAATACATTAATATATATACAGTTCTCAAACTCTTAGGGGCCTCATATTTCTGCAATCTTGCGGGCATGCTCCTCCCATTAGCTTTGCTCCCACCTCCAAAACTGATGAAATGCATGCATATAAGGCAGGCTCATCATGGAACGTTTCATATTTCTTTCTTTCATATTTTGTTCATGCTGTTATATATCATGATTGCAGTATGCAGGCTCATCATGGGATGAACTTAAGCATATAAGGCAGGCTGTTGGATTCTTGGTATGTCATTAGTGGTGGCTGGTCATCATCTTTCTCCTCTACATCGGAGTACCAACTTTTTTATTTATTAAATTTCCCCCACCTGTTTTCACTTTGGTTTTCTCATCTGTCTTCACAGGTTATACATCAGAAGTATAGGATATCTTATGATGAAATAACCAACGATTTATGCCCTGTAAGTTCCTCTTCCCGACTGTTTCCTATCTGTGGCTAGTTAGCATGTATGTGTATGCACTCTATCAGCCATCTGTCTTTGTTTTATATGCTCCTACTGTGAGAATGATGTTAGTGTAGCCCATATGATTTCATTGAGCGGTTCTCCTTTAACTTCTTGTGCAATCCTTCTCTTTCTCTTGCCTTGCAATTGCTAACATGAACTCCAAACTTCCCCGATAATAACTTAATAAGTTACTTGTCCTAAGTTTTTAACTGGCTGAATTTGGAGATTTATGCTAGTAAGTGTCTCAAATTTTGTTTTAAACTTTATCAAACCTACCTGCAGGATTCTCATTTTGTGTCTAACTGACTTTGTTTCCCAACTTCTTTTCTCAGATTCTGAGCGTCCAACAGCTGTACAGAATATGTACTCTGTATTGGGATGACAACTACAACACTAGAAGTGTGTCCCCTGATGTAAGTTCTGACTACTCAAATGCTTCATCAGATCATTTCCAGAGATCTGTCTCAATGGTTACATTCCTCAGTTTGTTTGCTGACTTGCTTGCCTATAACTATCTTTTCAGGTCATTTCCAGCATGAGGGTACTTATGACAGAGGACTCCAATAGTGCAGTCAGCAGTTCATTCTTGTTGGATGACAATTCTGGGTGAGACTTCCTATACATATCTGACCTATTTGGTACCATTGGCTTATTGTATTGTTATTATACACATATTATTGCTGAAGCATGGCTTGTTGAACTATGGGATGTTCGTCCTTATGATACTACAGAATCCCATTCTCGGTGGACGACCTGTCGAATTCGATGGAAGAAAAGGATTTTGCGGACGTGGAGCCAGCAGAGGAACTGCTTGAGAACCCAGCCTTCGAATTTTTACACGAGTAAGGCTTTTAAGTACTCAAGTTTGAAGCCTATGCAGGCTGTCACGCAGTTTTGAATTGTGTCGTTGTAAAGTTATTTCATGTCATTCTACTTTTCTTTCTTTTGTGATGCAAATGTGTAAAATCCTTCATATCGTTGAAAAGGGGGGCAGGACTAGGGTATATCCAATTTGTGTAGTTTGAGAGTGCATCATTCAATACTTCAACATTTCCTTGATTGGGTTCCGATTTATTTATTTATTTTTTCGTTTTCATTTTGGCATTTCTGCCGGGAAAGCATGGGGTAGACATTTGTGTAGAAATTTCAGATGATGATTCATTCATGTGTCCAATTTTTATTGTACAACGGAGCGCTGTTGTATGAGCAGTTTGCATGAAATATATACAAATGGGATTGGTTTAGGGCTCTTTGTCCTGGATTATGTATTGCATATTTCCTCTCCGGTAATTAGGTATCTAATAAGCTCTATTGACCAACAAGCCAAAGGTGACCCAAAAAATCAAGGACACAGTTCATAGTGCTGCAGCTGCAGACTAGCACCCAACTCTTACGGTATTATCCCCCAATGAAGAGTACAAATCAATTATTGCCTAAATATCAGATTACCCAACGAATAGAGCAACAAATAATATCGAATCTGTCTGCAACGCTCTTTCCACACACGATAGATATACCAGGTTTATATCAAAGCAAAGGTATGACCTCTTGCACCTTTGCTCTTGGCTATTTTGCAAGTTTTCTGCAGGAAATTGCTACAGTTTGACAGACAAACTCCAAATCCCCGTCAAGCATCTCATAGAACAAATCTCTACTATATGCACACTCACAGAAAATACGACTTCTACTCTAAACTGCAGCTTTGCATAGCACACATGCATCATCAACTATCCAACCCCACTCTTCTAGCTTATC